ACCACTAGCAGCACTACTACTACTACTACTACTACTACTACGACTACGACTTTTACTTCAACTACATGCTTCCCGCGCCTTGCGCGGCCACCGGCCGGCAAACATATGACCAAGGAATGAATAGCCGTTCGCATCGTAATTTACAGGTTGTTCGGGCTTGGGAGAGCTTGAGGGTTTTAAGAGTGTGGATATTGAAAACTACTTAAGGGTCTTGCAACAGAAAAAAGGCGGAATCTGAATGCTCTGCGGACCTTCTTTTGGCACTCAAACTCTTCCCCTGGCTTGTCTATGCCTCAGTGGCACAAATCTGAGACAGTTTACTCAGCAATGTGCGTGGTGAAGCATCTGTCTGGTGCTGGCGCCAGACAAGCTGCTCGACAAGGAACACCAGGTCTGCGAAATCTGTCGCAGCCACTCCCTTTCCAGACTTTCGTGGAAACTGTGGCGGAACCCATGCTTTCAAGGTTTTCCAAATCCTATCTACACATTGAGTTCCTGACAGCACTGTCTTGGCTGCAGGTTTCTTCGCGAACGTGGCGTCCGTCTTGACAAACTAACTCTTTCTGTTGGTGGTGTACCCACGAAGGCAGGAGGTTCATTTCTTCGCATGAGCTCTCCAGGCTTTGTTGCCGTCCGAAAACAGCATGGCGCTGCGAGAAGAGGCTACAGATTTCATGCTCTCCGTCGGCGGTCTGCTTCTGGGGACAGTGACAGCAGGCTCGGGGCAGTGCAAAAGAGCAGGCTCGCCTCGCTGCTGGATTCCTAGCACTTGGAAGTGAACACAGAAAGCTTTGAAAGACTGTTTGCCTTGCTTCCGCAACTTCTTCTGCAAGATGTCAATCTGCTTGGGAAAGCGCCGGCAGTCCGGCTTGACCCAGAATTTACCGAGACTTGTGCCATCGCCCTTCAATGGCACCTTTCGGTCTGCGGGTTTTCTGGAGCTTGCGGTCGGCTTTGGCTTCCATGTAGCGCCAAATGCACACAAAGTGATAAGCCTGCAGCAATGCTGCTTGGGGTATCAGGGCTTAGGGCAGACAAATGAAAGTCTTAGAACGCTGGCTCTTTGCAGGAGTTCAGGGCTGCGCTGTTTTTACAAGTTTGGGGCTGCGTAGGTATGAGTTTAGCAGGGCTGGGAACTAGTCAAAGCATCAGTTAGGGTGCACGGAAGCGTGAAAGTAATCAGGATTTTCTATTGTTTTCGTGTGATTTCGGAAAGATATGGGCTGAAAGATGCATCGACATGTACATAAATTTTATCTAGACTTTAGGAATCCTGGGAACTAGTCAAAGCAGCAGTTCGACTGCCAGCAAGCTTGAAATAAGTCGAGATTTCGTATTGTTTCCGTGTGACATCTCGAAGATATGGACTGAAACATGCATCAACATGTACATAAACTTTATGTAGAGTTTAAGTTTAGCAGGCAGGAAAGTCGGGAAATTGAAGCCATGCCTGTCTCCAGCTTGTCTTGCACGCTTGCACCAACTCCGTCGGCCTGGGCGCCTTCGTTGCATCCATCTGCTCATAATTCCGGATGAGCAGCATCACAGGATTTGCTTTCAGACCACGAAAAGGAGAATCTGTGAGGAAGCTGACATGCGTTTTGCAGTGAAGACAGCGCCAGTGTGGTCCTCGGTCCCTTGCTTCGACGCAGAAGGACAGACGTTTCTTCTGGCACTGCGGGCAGGACCGCGGCTTCTTGACAAACTTGTGCTGCTGCAGCCAGTCGGCTGCATCTTCTGCCGTGTTGATTTGCGCAATCAGTGCACATGCCCGCGGCTTGACACGCCGCTGCTCACTCCGCGATATCTTGCGAACGCCGTCTTTGCCATAGAGCTGTGCCCTCTCAGTAACCCTGTCCTTTCGCCTATCAGAGGCAGTTCTGCGACTTCTTCTCCACACGGTCAGCTTTGGCAGCCTGGTTGGGCTTGAGCTGCTTCAAAGAACGGGTCTGGTTCTTCAGCTTCAGAATCTGCTTGGTAGCGAAGCTGGTGCACGTCTCCAAGCGATGCCTTGGTCGTCCGCAAGCTTGGCAGAGGTGCGGGGTTTGCTTTCCCAGATTCCGCGTGGACCACGCAGGCGGCTACTAAGGGGTTTAGGGTCTTGTTAAGTGCAATGAATCGGACTTTACGACCAATCCAGCATAAGCGAAGCTACACTTGAACTGAATCGAAAAAGCAGCCGCATCACCCCACCGACGGATCACCAGCACATGGCAAAAGACCAAGACAGACACCCTTCTACAGCAATGGCGAATGCAACCTCTATCCTGCAGCACCAAAAGAAAGTCAGTGCAGCATACAAGGTCAACCCGACGCAAAGAGGGTATGACACCATTGAAATGGTCATGGGGAGCTGGTAGATGAGAGGGACGTCCACGATGTAGCAAAAGTCACAGTAGTCCAGGATGAAGCCAGTGAACGAGACATAGCAGACGTGGAGGTGGTAGTGGTAGAAGAGGTCGTAGTGGGTGCATCAATCATGTTGTTCACATTCAGGTGCAGTGGATCCAAATGAGAATCTGGCGAAGGAGGAGTGTTGTCAGGGGCAGCTTGAACGTGGCCACCGCCACGTCCAACGTGCTCTCCACCCCATCCTCCTGAGCGGTCACCATGCTCCCAGCTGCCGTCCCGTTGGAGGGGATGTCGGTGAGACCAAACTGCGACGGTCCACCAACCTCCCCCGCGAGGACACCCCACAGTTGTCGCTCGTGGGATGAGGGTGATTCACCCCGCGGTCCTCGCTGCACCCTAATGGCATCCAATGTGTCTCTGTACGACCAGGAGGGATCACCAGGCGAAGGACGCGACCATTTTTGGGACGGATAAGGGGCGCGTGTAGATGTTGTGGGACGGGACTCCATGGTGGGGTAGGGCGGGGAGGAGCAAGGTCGGCGGCAGCCTCTCGCTGGACACTCCACCAGCCTGACCGCAAGCACAACACATCTATGAGTATATTGCAGGGAAAGTATATTGGGTAGCATTACCCTAAATCGTAAACCGAAAACATGCCAAAGGAAAGGAGTATCTTTTGCAACGGAGACTAGCCGGCGAGTCTTGCACACGCAGAGGACTGCGGGGCCCTTGCTCCATCCAGGAAACAGCCGTGTGCGCCGAGACCTCTAAATGAACACGTGCCGCGACGACCGCGGAGGAGGCGTTCGGGAACGTACACGTTCTGGAGTGCGTGGCGCAGGAAGCAGCGTGTCAACAAGAGCAGGCACCGGTGCTAGCCAATCGTCTTGACTTTGCGGCATAGTCCATGTTGTAGGGAGACCCCAGCGTCGATGTATCCATGATGCGTACCGCCGCGAAGCTGCTAAGACATGCATCCCACATGCTCCGGACGTGACACAGACCAGTGCAGAACGGGCAAGGGGAGGCGCAAAGTGAATCAGCCACGTCCAGGGCAATCCTCCTTTCCGGGTGTCTTGGAGAACTGTTGCCCAAGTAAACAGCAAGCAAGTAGGAAAAACAAGTCCTGCAGTAAATCAGACAACAAAAAAGTCTCAAGGAATGCAAGCAAGCGGCAAACAAATGGTCTTCAATGTCGCAATATTGGAATTCGCTGAATTGTCGCAACTCGCTTGGAGGTGGCACTCGTGCCAGGCTTAGAACTAGGACAGATGCCACGGCGACTGCCAACCATGGACTCATCGCATGCACGTCGGGAACACTCGGATTCCGGGTTTTCAAACAACCTAATGAAAAGCTTGGGTGGGTAGAGCTTAGGGCTTCAAGTGTTGGGCAAAACCGGAGCTGCCGGCCATGCAAGCATGAACATGTATAGCAACCTGCAGCCGAAACCCTGCAAGTAGCATCCAGCACCATCCCGATGCAAGCAGCATGCAAGACCATGCCCTTGCAAGCAGCATCCAGGAACATCCACATGTACAACATCAGGCAGCACCACCATCCCCATGCAAACATCATGCAGCATCATGCATCCATGACAACACCAGCATGAGCACGGACTAGCAGAGACAATCCTCATCCTCAAACAATGCTGAAAGAAAGAATGTGAAACAGAGAACGATAAACACAGTCCCGCCCCCCCACCCCCCACCCCCCCAACCCCCCCAGTCGCAAAAGCAAGCCAAAATGTAGGCGCAGTAAACCCCTCTGTGCTGAAACATGCTGAACATCGAAGTCCGAAAGTCCGAAGACAAGGAGAGTCCGAAAGCAAGGATAAACCGGAATATCCGAATATCCGAAAAAGAAGAAAGGAAGCCTGGAAGTCTGAAACCGGACGTGCGGGCAAAATAGCGAAAACCCGAGGAAAAGCTATGGATTAAGACAGAAACCCCTGGAAACGTGGCCGCGCAGGGCGCAGGCTCCAACTACATACTATTACATACTACTGCATACTACTACATACTACAACATGCTACTGCAAACTACTACATACTACAATGTGCCACCAGGTGCTAACAACAACTACTACTACTACTACTACTGCGACGACGACGACTACTACTACCACCAGACTACGTACTACTGCTGCTACTGTTACGACTGCTACTACTGCTACTACTGCTACTACTAGTGCTACTGCTATTGCTACTGCTGCTGCTGCTGCTGCTGCTACTACTACTACTACTACTACTACTGCTACTACTACTATTATTATTACCACCACCGTAACTACCATTACCACTACACTAACACTCCCACTGCTACTGCTGCACTGCCAGTATTGCTGAACCTGCCATGACTTCAGACATGAAAGTATCTGCGACGCACTACCATGTGTCACGATGCATGAGATTGTAAAGACGAGCACGTGCGACAGAAAGTAGCAAATGAAGGCAAGCAAAGGCATCAAAGAGACAGAGCTCCCGAAAGAAAGAAGCCGTTGTCCTCCAGGTCTCCACCATGGCAATCTCGGACTTGTGGGAGAAGATGCTGGGCATCGGTTCGGGCTGGTTCGTGCTGGTCGTCCTTGCCTGCGCAGTTTGCGGCCTCCGAGCCCGAAGGCCAGAGACTGCCCGAAGCAAACCATCTTCGTCTGGAGAAGGAGAAAGCACGGAAAACACCAGCAGCCAGAACACCTCTCCTTTCGATTGGTGGAGCGTTGGTCCGCGGATTACTTTGGCATCCTTGAAAGTCTTCGTCACAGCGCTGCTTCTGGTGGAGCTCCTCGGCTTGGCCGCGCCAGAGGAGGACGTCCTCACCCTGCCTGAGATCATCCGCCGAGTCCGTGCTCACCCCTACGGAAAGAATCCCGAACTGGGCTTTCTTTCGGGCTTCACCGTGGCCGATGCACAGCTATTGCCCCACCTCACGTACCTTTTCATGCCCAACCTCAACGACAGCACAGCTGACAGCTACGCCGCAGTGTTCTCCGTCCTGCGAGCATCGCTGCTGGCGTCCTGGTGCACTTTCCTTGCGCTTCCAAGCTCTTGGGCATCTTCTTGGGCCTGCTTTCTCTGGGGAGCCGCGGTCTACGTGGTCATGGCGAGCCTGGGCAGAGAAGACTCTCAAAGCAGGGTGTCCTTCACCTTCCCTAGCCACGGCCATGCTAATCGCAGCAGCCTAGTGCCGACAGCGCTCCCAACCTGTGCCCACCCAGTCTTCAGTCAGGAGCTTGATCATCATGTACATCCCTTGCTACGACAGCCACGCCACCTGCTTCTTCCTTGTGGCGGCCTGCATGGTGCCGACCGAAACGTACGAAACGTACCCTGAACAGCGGCTAGAGTAAACAGATAGAGAGCAGACCCCGAGCTTCGTTTGTTCACGGTCCTGTCAAACATTTCATGCACAGAGCAATCCAAGGCCTGAAGGAGAATCTGCTTCATGTTCGCAAAGGGAAACAGTGCCGACAAGACAAGTCCCATTTCCAGTACCTTTTCGCGACCCGAGTCTCTCTCTCTCTCTCTCCCACAGCCCTGAAGGTGCCATCTTTGGAGACCAGCCAGCGGTCTCAAGCATGGCTGGGGAAGCACCGCGGCACAAACGCAAATGTGTGGCTGAAGCGCGTAACGATTCTTCTTTACAACTCTGTCGGGTCATGCGAGTTGCGAATCGCACAGGTTTGGCTTTCGTTGTACGATATGTACCGGGGGTTTGAAGGGTTCACGAAGGTGTCTGTCGAGTTCTGCAGTAAGATACTAATACGATCTCAACGAGGTTGAAGGGTGGCGTTCGTGTGGATCTGCATGGCTAAACTTAGGGACCATGGTCACGCTCGTATGGCGGATGTTGTTCCTGCCCAGTTTCGCGTGACGAGCAGAGTGCCCTGCAGCTCTTACAGCTCAGGTGTTGTTTTTAAGGATCAGGGCCCGACATGCAGCAACATTGCAAATATAAGAGGGCTTCAAGCTCAACTGGCAGGTTTCTTCTGGTCAGCCTGCTTGCTCCGTTCTACCTGTCTGCAGGGGTGTCGAAGCTCCGTTATGGAGGACCCCGCGAATTGCGCTTTGCTGTGCCGCCATTTTTCTCACCAGGGATTCCTGCGTTTCGTACGGAGTCGAAGGCAGGCCACAAGATCTTGAGCTTCAGGAATGCCTTCCAAGAGGTTGTGCGCCCAAGCAGAATATGAAACACCGTCTTGGAAACTTACGGCAAACGATGTCCCATAAACGTACAATTTTCCCTTCTGGTGCCAGCAAGGAATACGCACAGAAGTCCTTCCATACTTGCATAGTCCCGGTACGTACGGCGATTTCTGATGTTGCGGCCTTGTCAACGCACAGTCACTATGTGAAAATACATGTTCAAGTTTTGTAGACTTCAAGAAGGAGGCGAGTAATGATCCCGATGCAGACAGTGACGATGGGATACGGCAATGGCCTGCCTGTGCAGTTCTGACGGCACTCCAAGCAGCTGTGAGTGCAGGCTGGGCCTCCATGCTCTCTGGGAGCTGGTTGAAGCCGATTCTGGCTGCGACGGTGGACAGGCAGGAGAACCTTTCCGTCTTGTCCTGACTGATTTGTTGGCCTCGGTTGCTTCGGTTGTGCTCGTTGGTAGCTTCGAATCTAAGCGACAAGACACCATCGGATAGTTCCCGCGACCTGCTAGAAGCCCAGCCCAATCAACGGCACGGAAGCATTTGCCATCCCTTAAGATTAAAGCTTAAGAAATTATCGCTTTGGCTGGCCCCCAAGCTAGCACGGACATGCGCTGTCGTGGCAATGAATGAGTCTGATGCCCGCGCTTGTGAGCTTGCTTGATGAAAAATATGGCTAGCTTACCAACTACTTTCTAAGCTGGTGCTACGAGAGGCTTCCTACCGACCCACACTGATAGGGAGATGTCTGTGTTGCGGGAGTGCAGATATCCCTTGACAGGTAAATTGCATTATATTTTTAGAAACCAGGGGGTTAAGGATCACAAACTACCAAACTTTGTGGGACTAGGGTTGCGGCAACTGGACCATGCGTAGAGGGTGTCAAACCGAGTGAGGGCTACACCTTGCTGCTAAGCACTGGGAACCCCGAGACCCCGATCGGCATTGCTTCTGTTATGTTATGCAAAAGTGCTCGAAGCAGGTCTATCTTTCCAGGTTTGAACACGTGGCTCTCGCAGTCTACCTGGGCGCCAGCCATGATGTCCTTCGGAGCCTGGGTCGTCATTGAAAAGCAGCTGTGACAAGTGTTATCGCCGCATTATCGGTCTAGTTGCAAAGATAACAGAACATGCATATTTAACACATAGGCATGTGTACGTGTGTATGTATGTATGCATGTATGTATGTATGTATGGATGTATGTATGGATGTATGTGTGTGAGTATGTATTACGTACACGTATAGAAAAACAAAAATGAAGATGTATTTCTTTCTGCACGAGTGATAGCCAGCCCTCCACCGCCCATCCAAGATAAGTCGCCTCAAGGATTGCAGATCATCTTCTTGTCGCGCGATTGTTTTCTGGATCGCTTGGCTCTGGCCTTGCAAGGCTTCACGTAGCGTTTGCACCTGCTGCTGTAGCGTTATTACAAATCCAGTATGCAAACTTATGGTAGCATCACGCAGTGCTTGTGTCCTGAACTGAACACGATCGGACAGCTCTACGACGGCACATCGTCTAACACTGCCATGTCCAGCTGTACTCCTTGATGAAACTGTTCCAGAACATGTGCTGGGATGTCCACTTGGGTCATCCGTCTCATCCACACACCAGTGGCATCGACTTGCATCGTTGCTTCTGCTTGGTGTGGTGGGTGAGACGTTGCTTGCTGGTGGGTTGTTGGTGTGGTGTGTTGGGTGGGATTTGGGTTCAGATCTGTTGGTTCTGAGCTTGATGAAGTTGTGGTTGGGGTGGGGGAGTGTTGCTTGTCACAATGGAGTAATGGGATGGTGAAGGAGATTGTCATACATCGGGTCCTGGAGACGTATGTGTACACTGTGGGGCACACTGTGGGGCACACTGTCTAGATAATCATACGGCATCCCTACTGGGTCTCAAGTCCTCTTAACTTAACCTTCCCACACTCCCCACTTCCCCGAGATCCCCTTTCCACAACGATGCACAATCTTCGCTCTGCCCTTCATAGGTGCTCGAGCCACGTTCAAGTGGCCATTGGTTCACAGATACAAGCCAAGTGGCCATTGGTTCACGGAAGCGTGTAGACTTTGCGCAGGGGCCATGCACTCAAAATACACACATGCTCACAAACAGTGCCATCAGGCGGCATGCGATGCAGTCACTGGTTGTGTTGCACGTTGCCACGCCCACAGCAAATGTGCTCTTTCCCTGCTGCTGTAGGGTGTTGTGAGCCCTTAGCCCTACATATACATACATTTACACATGCACATACACACTTTTTGTGCTGCCACACGCACTGGCTTGCCGAAAGCGCAAGCCCGTTTCTTTGCGTTGGCCCAAGGAGTGTTGTCAGCAGAGTTCTGGCTCCCTGTTTTGGTGCTTTACACGGCGAGTTCCAGCACGAACTTCAGCCGCTGGCTACGAACCTGCCGCTGGGCGCCAGACGTTTTACAGAGCAGCACATGCGCGTACTGTAAGTGATAATGAGAAGATGCAGGTTGGAGGTTAGTGATAGTGATGGTAAGTCCCCAAGCTCTTTTGGAAACACGAGTTTTCTGCGTCCCTGATCGAGGTTGGATCTTGCTAGTGGCATTATTTCATGTCGTGTGTTGGGCACTCGTTGGTCCAAACTTTGTACGCCAAATCGCTTTGCTGATGCTGTCTTCCTATTCTGTCTGGCATCCGACCGACAGCACCGACAAAGATGTCATCGAAGGGAGCCGCACGAGAGCTTGGTTATGCCGCGTTGGCTATGCCGTTGTGCTGCTGATGCTGTGGCTCTGCAATCAGTTTTGGTCAGATATTGACCATATCCGCCGCCCTGCGAGAGCTTGGGGGTCGAGTGCTGTGTTTGTGTGGGTTCAAGCCTATTTCGTTATTAAAGAAAGCTCCAGATATGGGGAGGCCGTTTTACCTACCTTTGTGAAAAACAAGGCGGTGCGACAGCGCAGGAGTCCTACCACGACATGCTTTGGCCTGTGGGAGAGCTCTCCATGTACGTGCCGGGGCCATCTTTAAGCAAATTGATGCACCAAATAAGCGCAAGTCATGAAAACACCAACATGCAAGAAAACTCTCATCAGGTCGTTCCTTCGGCCTCCTCCAACTACGTTCGCTCGCTTTTCCTTGAGATTGTGATTGCCTCCTTGATCTGCCTGAGGATACATTTTGATGTCTCACAGCCCACTCTAGACAAGGGCGCGACGTAGTCGTAACGTGAAAAGGCTGCTGGGCTGCTGCATGTGGCAGGATCACCCCAACATCTCCTAAGTAATGCTCTCACATCAAGACTGCCAGCATGATTACGAGGACACCATGAGGCCTTTGATTGTGTGCCGCCTCTGCGGCCTGCCTTTCCAAGGCTTCAATGGATACGCGAGCACCCCGGGAGTAGCTCAGCGCAAGGTCGCCGTCAATATAGAAAAGATAGAGGCTTGGCCCGCGCGATGAAGTCGCCAGACGAAACGACACGAAGCATAACATGGGGTTCATTGAGTTCTTTGAATTGACACAACATGGTCTAAACCGCATGGCCTCGTTCAAACCCATCGAGTCTTGCATCTCAAACTTCGCCAAGAGCCTCAAGGCCGCCGTGGTAGATTCACGAATGCATGACATTCTCGTCAGACTCGTCAGCTTCTCTTCTGGTGAAAGCCTGGCCTTGAGGTCGTATGAGAGCTTCCACAGGCTTCATCTGACCCCGGCAGCCCCAATTCCACAAAGATTCCAATGCATTTGTATGGGGTCCGGCGAGCATGGCGTGGAGGCGCCGCTAGCATCGCTGGCACATTGCCAAGAGATGCTGAGTTTAGGGCACGAAGTCCAAGGCTGGAGGCTTCAAGTTCAGGATGCGTTGAATTGCGCGTACTAGCAATTATGTCTGAGTTCGGAGGTTGGATATGTTTGGAATCATCATGGAGTGACAGCCTTCCGGTTTGGAGTCCGGCATCTAGGCTTTGTTGGGTGTCTGTACAATCAGTGGTTCCCAAAGGTCTGCCGGCAGCACACACACACACACCATTCGTGACAGCCTTATTTGCGTTCGGCTGCATGCTCGTCGAGTTCGTGGGGCCACTGCTCGTCCTTTCCATTGATGGAAAGCCATGCTCCAAGGTTGCGCGGTGGGCGCTTACGGTGTGGAGTTGCCTTGTCCTCGGCTTTCTTGTGGGAGCCTTCGTATTCCTCAGCCCAAATTTTGTTCGTCAGGTTCCCTTGACAATCATGATTCTACATGGGCTCTGGTGCTCAGATGGATCCGAGAGCCAGCGTCCTGACGCTCAAGACGCCCCACCTTTGGTATATCACTGCAGAGTCATATTGGCGATGCTGCTTTTGAGCTCGTGGTTTGACGTTGAAATGTGGTCAGACATGGCACATCTCACCGGCGCAACGCCACAGCTATCGAAGCATGATCCAGGATGGCCAATCGGTGAGTTTGGCATGTTCGTCCAACCTTCTGAGACATCGAACTATGCACGCTCTCTGTTTCTGGAGTTGTTTGTGTTTTGCTGCTTTTGTGTGAAGAAATGGCAAGACATTTGGTCCGCCACGAAGAGCGACACATAAGCATGCGGTTGACAGGAAAGGAAAGGGCTTCACGAGCGCAAGCCCGACACTTCAGTTCAAGTTCAAGGCTTTGTCAACCTGCACCTAAACGCCACAATACAGGGCAATATTTGTTGTTGCACAGTGCTGTGCACCGTTTGTGGCTTCTTTCACCATATCAATACTTGTGAACTGTAAGCAGTCCATGCTTCTTCCGATGTTCGCAGTGCAACATGTGTTTGTTGAATTCTTGTTGCACGCGCCGGTTGGCTCAAAGGCCGATAGGCCTGAGGTGAAACCCCGCACCGAAGGTATCCAATTCCATATATTGCAAGGATGCTGAATGCATCACCGCCATGGCCAGTTGAGCTTATGTTTTTCTGGCTTCTGGCAGCAAGCACCCAGCCATGCGCATCCTTCAGCCGCCCCAGCTTTTCCGTGAAGACACTTGCAGGCAGGGGGGATCGTGCCCGAAGAAATCCACATGCTAGGAAGCTCCCATAATTGCGCTAGTACCTTAAGTGAGTGTGATCTCGGAATGAATAGGTGAGTCAGTGCAAGAACAGCCTGGGAATTGGGCGCCGGCATTGGTGGAACCGCAGTGGGCGGAGTGGAAAGCCTCTCACCCAAGGTTCTGCTCAATGTTCCGGCCCTTGTGTGACAGTGGCTTCCCTTCGAACCAGCTAGCAGTCATGACGGCACAAGACATGAGGGAGCACATGCTTGGCATTGGATCCTGCTGGTTTGCGCCGCTCGTCATTCTCTGCGCAGCTTTCGGGGTCTTGCGCCCTGGATTGCCGGCAGCAAGCAGTTCGGCATTCTGCCTCGACAAGCTTACCGCCTGGTGGCATCGCGGCCCGAGACTCTCAGCAATTTCATTCAAAGCCTATTTGTGCATGCTGCTTTTGATTGAGCTGCTTGGCCTGTCAGCACCGGAGCCCACAGTCCTTTCGTTGCCCGAAGCCTTGGGACGAGTGCGGCGACATCCCTATGGACCGGGAGAACTTTGGCCGCATTCTGTGATGAGTGGTTGTGGTTCTAACAAGCGGCGAGAGTGTGCTGGTGGTGGCGCGATGGGATTATTGTGCAATTGGGTAATAACGTCCGCTGATATTTCCAAGATGCCCGAAACAGTGGTATTTGACAAGGCTTGTCGCCTTTTTTGGACATTGCGGACCGGGTGGTGCTGGTTCCGTGGTGGTGTGGCTGGTGAGGCGGTTGATTCGTTTGATGCTGGATGATGATGCCGGTGGTGCTGTTTGTCCTGGGTTGCATCCTTGCACACAGATTTTGTCCAAACCTTCAATGTGTGGAAAGGCCTCGCAAAAACTGCAAGAAGCTTGCACCGTCTCAGAGATTCGAAGTTAGCGTTGTAGGCATGATGCCCGTTTTCCCGCACATTAGACACCTTTTCCACGAAACAACACGGCGCCCTGAAGGAGCCGCTAGGGTTCGCTGAATCATGTCCGGGGTTTCCGTTCCAAGCCGAGGCCGAGTTGGGACTGCTGGAGGGTCACGGCTTGGCAGACTCGCCGCATCTGATTCCACGGCTCACATACCTGTTCATGCCAGGTTTGGACGACAGCACCGCTGACGGCTATGCCTCGTTTCACGCTGTGCTTCGCGCAACACTGATTGGGGCTTGGTGCATCTTCCTGGTCACACCAAGCACCTGGAAAATGACGTCTACAGCGTGCTATACCTGGGGAGCAGCGATGTATGTCTATTTCGGCAGCCTGAGCATGATTTTCGTGCCCACCCAGAGCATATGCTCTTCGCACTTTTTTTTGATGGGGGCTATCTTCGTCGTGCCACATGCTGAGAGTACTGATGCCCAAGCTTGGTTGTGGAAGTTTCTGGTCATGAGCATTCTGGCACCATACTACCTTGCAGCGGGCTTCGCGAAGCTGCGCTACGCTGGCTGGGTATCAGTTCTAACGGGAAGCTGGATGCAGCCCAACTTGAGGAATTTCCCGTCGTTCTTCCCCGGCTTTAATGCCTGGGCAGCACACACACCATTCGTGACAGCCTTATTTTCATTCGGATGCATGCTCGTCGAGTTCGTGGGGCCACTGCTCGTCCTTTCCATTGATGGAAAGCCATGCTCCAAGGTTGCGCGGTGGGCACTTACGGTGTGGAGTTGCCTTGTCCTCGGCTTTCTTGTGGGAGCCTTCGTATTCCTCAGCCCAAATTTTGTTCGCCAGGTTCCCTTGACAATCATGATTCTACATGGGCTCTGGTGCTCAGATGGATCCGAGAGCCAGCATCCTGACGCTCAAGACGCCCCACCTTTGGTATATCACTGCAGAGTCATATTGGCGATGCTGCTTTTGAGCTCGTGGTTTGCCGTTGAAATGTGGTCAGACATGGCACATCTCACCGGCGCAACGCCACAGCTATCGAAGCATGATCCAGGATGGCCAATCGGTGAGTTTGGCATGTTCGTCCAACCTTCGGAGACATCGAACTATGCACGCTCTCTGTTTCTGGAGTTGTTTGTGTTTTGCTGCCTCTGCGTGAAGAAATGGCAAGACATTTGGTCCGCCGCGAAGAGCGACACATAAGCATGCGGCTGACAGGAAAGGAAAGGGTCATGCGCAAGCTGCAGTGCGGCCTTTGCCATACAAGCTTCAAAGCCCCACACTTCAGTTCAAGTTCAAGGCTTGGTCAGCCTGCACCTAACGCCACAATACAGGGCAATTCCTGTTGTTGCACAGCGCTGTGCACCGTTTGTGGCTTCTTTCACCACATCAATACTTGTGAAATGTAAGCAGTCCATGCTGCTTCCGATGTTCGCAGTGCAACATGTGTTTGTTGAATTCTTGTTGCACGCGCCGATTGGCTCAAAGGCCGATAGGCCTGAGGTGAAAACCCCTCACCGAAGGTATAAATTCCATATATTGCAAGGATGCTGAATGCATCACCGCCATGGCCACTTCAGCTTATGTTTTCTGGCTTCTGGCAGCAAGCACCCAGCCATGCGCATCCTTCAGCCGCCCCAGCTTTTCCGTGAAGACACTTGCAGGCAGGGAGGTTCGTCCCCGCAGAAACCCACATGCTAGGAAGCTCCCATAATTGCGAGTGCTGGTACCTTAAGTGAGTGTGATCTCGGAATGAATAGGTGAGTCAGTGCGAGAACAGCCTGGGAATTGGGCGCCGGCATTGGTGGAACAGTGGAACGCCTTTCACCCGGTTCTGCTCAATGTTCCGGCCCTTGTGTGACAGTGGCTTCCCTTCGAACCAGCTAGCAGTCATGACGGCACAAGACATGAGAGAGCACATGCTTGGCATTGGATCCTGCTGGTTTGCTGTTTGCTTCCAATCCGTACTTGCAGGTCATCCTAGCAGCGGTGCGTCCTTTCCGAGATATATGTCGTGAAGGCTATGATGCATACAGAGGTACTGTCAAGTTGACCATGGCAATCCAAAACGTGTGCAAAAACCCTCAGCTTGGAGCTGCAGGCATGGGTTTCTTGGTGCCAAGATCGGTTTGCTTGTTGGTGGGATTGCTGGTCCGTTGGCAATGGGACTTGGTGCTGCCATTGGAGGTGCCGTGGGAGGTGTTCTTGGTGCCCTTCTATTTCGATGGTGGACCGGTGAGCCTGCAGACAGAGACTTGCAGTGTGCTTACACCTTCTTGGAGGTCAGTGAGGAGTGAACAGATGCCGCGATTCATGCCGCCTACCGCCGCAAAGCGCGCAAGCTACATCCAGACAAGGGTGGATGAGCTGAGGAGTTCAGACTGCTGCACCATCATTACGAGAAGATCCTTCAGAGCCGAACCGCGGCGCTGCGCAGCGAACATTTGGAACGCAAAGTTCGTAGTCTTCCAGGCATTGGGCTTGAGATGGATATGTCTACAAAGGTATCTGACTGATTCAGCTTAGGCATGGGAGGGGCCAGACCTTACTTGGCCGCCTCTGACGCGTCAAATCTTCCACAGGCTGGAAAAGCCTGAATGCCAACGTCGCGCCTGGCAGCAAAGTTTGCCAGCGCCTGGTATCCAGAATTCAGCATCGCGAATGACCTCGCGGAAGTGCTTGCTTTGTGCTTGTCCCTTCGTGCTTATTGGCCTCAGCAAGAGCCTGGCTTTGCAAGACTGTTTGTTGGTTTGGCCTTGCCATTTGTGTTGCTGTTGTTGGGGAGGAACCACGACCTGACCCAGGCTCTACCAGACAGAGCGCTCTGCGGACATCTAGTTGAAGGGCCGGCGCCTCGTGAGGTGCGCAAGATGCTTGACGGTAGCGATGCGGCTAAAAACCCGGAGTCCATAAAGGACGCATCTGGCGTATCGTCCACGGTTCCTTGCATGTCAGGTGGCCTTACGGTATCAAAATCACATAGTCCTGGGTTCCAGTACTGGTAGGTGCCGCTGTAGTATTAGTACAGTACGTGTATAGTATTTCTGCCGTGCTGCGATACTATCGAATTTTAACCCCCTCAAGAAAAATCCTAGGACCAAATCACGTTGCCCCATGAAGCACCCACAGACCATTTGATTAATTTCAGGCAAACTTCGCCCTATTGAAGGCCCATGCGCCAATCGGGTTAACATTGATTGCAACGGCTGCACCTTACATGTGCGGAAAGAGGGTCTCGTCCCCCTCTCCGAGTTGCACCTACTAGTGTCTCCGTTTCTGTGCCAGGCCCCTGCGCCTGCATCAACCCCAGCCGGGAAAAGTGGAGTGTATCAGGGCATTTAGGGTTAAGGCTTCTGGGTTCAAGGTGTATGGGTTCCGTGGCCTTCTGACTATGTGTGAGTATGAAAGCCTGAGTCCTTGGCTCATCCTCAGCTTCGAACACCTTTGAAATCCCAGCCATTATCGCTTTTGTTCCGAACTGCGTGATTGTCCGAGTGTTATACTGATACCTTGGGAGGCGCTCTGTGTTCACGGTGCTGAAAAGCTATGCCCCTGCCTTGGCAGACGTGACAATGGGGCTGCAGAGGGGGAGGGTTTCAGGACTTAGGCCTTAGACTCTACTGCCTACGGCATCGCGTTTAGAGTGTAGGGTTCAAGGTCTATGGTTTAGAATTTACGGTAATTTTCAGTTCTTGGGTGTTTTCTGTCGAGTCCTTTCCCCTTCCCCGCAGCAAAAAGATGAAGCGCCTGAATCCAGTGCTAGGCATGATTACAGTTTTCGGGCTCATCATTCAGGCATTGGGGTTTAATAGGGTTCAAGGTTAAGTTTTAGGGTTCAGGGTTTGGGGTTTAGGTTTAGGGTTTTATTAGGGTTTAAGGTTTCAGGGTTTAGGGTTCAGGGTTTGGGATCTGTTTTTGTTGAGAAGAAACACTC